AACTTAACTGGTCTGCTATGCTTTTAAAATGCAACATATAAATATAAATTAATTCACAAATAAAACTCTAAAGCAATAATAATTTTATGTGAAGTAAATTGCAAAAAAAAAAACCGTAAACCAAGGAAGTAGGAGGATATCAGTTAAAACTAAATTAAAAATAAAAAACAATTATAATGCTATTTAAAAGTAAATACGCGATAATAATACAAGCACATAACTTACGTGAAAGCGTCTTTCATATTTATAAATATATATTTGATATTACTATGCACAAATTCAGTATGCTAAGTCAACTTCGTTAACACACTTAACTGACACTTCAGTTGAAATATGTGAAGAAAAGGCAAGCTATATAGCTATATAGTAAAGCATAAGAAACAAGCCAAGTATTCGGCTCTTCAGCTATATACTTTTGCTACATGCAAAATCAAAAGATAAGTTCACTTAACAAACTGAATTAGCCGCTCTTTTTCTGTTCTGTTTTTGTATAAAATGTTTTACATAATTTTAATATTATTTACTTAATTACTAATATATAAGTTAATAAAAATATAAAAAAAAAACAGTTTAAATAAAAACTGAAGTATGTAGTTATAAAATATATTAAACATTATATGTACTAGTTTAAAACAAAGTTTATAATAAATATATAAGTTATTTGAGTATATAAGTTTGTGTGTTTAGCTGAAAAAAAATTATTAAATAAAGTGCGGAAAATTAAAAAAAAAAACAAATTCAAGAGAATCATATATATTAGTACACGGCATATATATGTATATGCATATAATTATACATAGTTACATATGTATGTATTTATATGCTGCTATGTAAAGTCTAGCACGAGTTTTGAAATTAAAACAAATTAAACTTGTAATAAATAAAAATAAGTTCGTTCATACAAACAAATCATTACCCTCTATTGTTCATGTGAAGTAGTATAAACAATTTTATATATACATATGTACAGCTGCGTTACATATACATCTATGTGTATTTGTTATATTTATTAATTTATATATTTTACATTTAAATTGCATTAAGCAAATTTATATAAAAATTTCTTTTCGACAATATAATAGTTTTCCATAAACGCTATTAAACTTTTTAGATGTGTTAGATATTTCATAAAAATTACTTTCTATTCTATATAGAGACAACTTAAGAAGTTCACGTTTAAATCGTAATATACTGAAATTTAATTTTTTTATATATTTTCAAAATTTCTTTTATGTCTTAGCTACTAAAAGTCATAATTGAATATGTAGTAAGAGAGTTCTAGCAAATTTGAAATGGAAGTATAGTAAAGAAGTTCGTTTGTGTTAAAAGATCTATATAATTTCTATTTTGTTTTTCATATTTTTTTTTCATTTTTTTCTTCATTTTTTTCAATATTTTTCTTATTTTATTTTTGTTCAATTTTTTTATATTTAATAGTATTTCTTACACATATATTTCCTTATTAAAGAATTAAGAGTTTTTTCAATAACGCACAAACGCATAATTTTATAAATTCTTTATGTATTTGTTAGTGAGGAGATTTTCGAATTTCTAAATTTAAGTTTTTAACTCATATTTCGCTAACATATTTTTCGATAACATTTATACAATAAAAAAAATATGTCATCAATTCTTACTTCAAGTAGCGAAAATTAACGGTTTTTTAAAAATAAAATAAAAGTTCACAAAATTAATATAAAAAATATAAAACAAAAAATAGCGATTTCCAACATAAAACTACATAAGCGTAAAAGATTTTTATATAGAAAGCAAAAAAAAAAACATTTAAACGTTTTTAAAATAAGA